TCTGTCCTTCGTCAATGTGTAAGTCTGCAATTTGAAAATTGCAACCCAATTAATGTGCAGTTAATGTATCATAATCCTTAGATTACCAAAATAATAATAGCTGTTATCTTATACGGAAATATAAAAAATTTAAAGAAATACTATCCTTGTTGGAAGATCTTGAAAGAACGAGTATATAGGCATTAGTAGAAACAGGACACATATGTTAAATCCTATGTAAACGTACGAAACTACCGGAAAGACTAGAACAGGGGTCACCAAACTACGGCCCGCGAGGTCAGCTCATCCGGCCTGCTGCTACACTGCCATAAATGAACTAAAATATAATTATTTATATGGAAATATCATAGATTGTAGACAAACTTACTATGTAGAAAAAATTAAAATAAGTGTAAGTAAAAATAACGAAATTGGTCCAATCTAATTTTTGCATCTGACAGTAATATAATTTTTAGGAAAATGAGTGGAATAAAAAAATTTGGCGACTTTTTGCGATTTTGGATATCAGAGCGCTTTTTGTGTAACCTACAATGAAGTTTCTAAGGAAAGCGATTACGAGCTTGCTGCAGCGATTGTGTTTGTGTATTAGTAAATAAATATGTTCGTTGTTATTATTTTTCGTGTATTCAGTATACTGTATTGAACAAAATTGTTATGCGGCCCGCGCTTGTCATTCTCTCATTTATCTGGCCCACTGTGAAAAAAGTTTGGTGACCCCTGGACTAGAACAACCCAACAAATGCGGAGGAATAGGTTTGGGACATTTAAAGAATGTTGTTACAAATTGATCAGAACTGAAAGCCAGCATGATGTAACATATCCACAATATCTCTGCAGAAACACTAATCTGTTGTTGATCACGTTATTTTGTGATTTCAGTTTGCATTAGAATGCAAAGGCCAGTATATTGAACATTTGTTACGTCACTCGTAAATTTTTTTTTACTTTTGCATTGTTTTCCACCGTAATAAAGCACGAATTGTTCTCCTAGCGGCAAATTTTTGAACTAATTTTTTAATAAACGAAATTACATTGCTTCACGGATATTCACGCATAATGTTAAGTCATTCTGAACAGTGGTTCTTATTTCAGACCATTGCGAAATCGGAACTTTAATTATAATCACTCTGTAGAAAAGGACCTATATACGTAGTTAAAGAGTACTGTATTTCTAAAAGGTAGCGAGTCTCTCTGCATCCTTAGTATTTACTATTTAGAGTTTCGTTGGAAGCTTTCTGCGTGAATATTTGTATCCTGAAATATTTAAGCAAAAATACGGTAATTGTTTAGTCTATAAAATATCGCCTCGTATGCTGTAGTGACACATGCTAATTTCTCATTTCGTGCACAGAGGTCAGAGTTATAAGAAATATTTCTTATCTAGAATAGACTTTACTGATAGAACGGATAGAAATATTTAAGCAGAAAGCTTCCGGTGAATATCTGAATGCTGAGGATGCAGGCCACAGGCCATCTGTTAGAAGTACCCATAATTAATCTCTCAATGTCAAGTACTGCAGATTTTGCTAAAAATGATGAAAAGGCTGAAAAAATTTTTAATTGCAGACATTTAGAGAAGTATTTCTAATTTCATGAATGTTTAATGTCTCCTGTTTTACTTTGTTTGGGTTTCACCAATAAAAAAAAACAGACGTGTCATTAACGTGTCCGGTTGAGCAGAAAAAAGCAATACTATTCGAAAGTCGTATTCCAGGGTATCGTGTAAACGTCTAAATTGCTGACAAACCAAGTACACGTATTTTTGGGCATAACAAAATGTTGGCGGTGGTAGTACTATGTAAATTACCCTTTAAAATGAGTCCATACTTTGATTCGATCAGACTGATTTTTACAGATCTAGACTTATCCCCAGCAGATAAGGGAGCTACTATATTTTTTTCAAATTAGAATTTGAAACGTTTATATGTAATAATGTAAATTTAAATGTACTGAAAATTTGTGAAAATTTTTAAGATCAGAAATTCTGTTGCCAAGTGGAAAATTTGTTACTCTTAAATATCTGATACCAATAATTCGTAGTTAACTACTCTTAATACTCAATTCACTTGTAATTTTCAATTTCATCTTATGGTAGAGATAATATACTACATCGGAATTATATGATTTTCATATATTATTTAACAAAGATCTGTATTTATTTTTTTAAATTTTCAATTAAAAAAATGCTATCTTCATTTCACATATTTTATCTTCCTTAGACAGGCAATGATGGAATTAAGTTAATGAAGCCTTTTTTCACTACCAATGGTAGGACTTGCTAGTGTAAGCAACTCTCCCAGAATTTAGCAAAAAGTTTTTTTAATTCTCGGATTCCTAAATTAGGGCCTATTTTCTCCTATTTACTAGACAAGACGATCAATTTTTCAGTTATACTGTATATTAAAACAGACTAAAATTAGGCGACAGTGTTTTGATATTGTTGAGAGTAAAAAAACGCCAAATCTCTCGAAATGTTATTGTTCCTGGAATAGAAAACTCCCGGAATAGACTCTTCGGGATTTGGAAAACTTAAATACGGCCCTTTTTATTACAAAAGTTTAAATTTAAAAAAAATTTAATATTTAAAAAAAATAGTTTCGGTTTAAATTATTATTATTAGCTTATCTTTTATTTCTAGCTTAACTTTATTCTGTTCTAAGAACCACTAAGAAATAGACTTAAGTTTGAAAATAATTTTATGCAAAATCATCGAATCGGTCTACTGCTCTGATGATCGTGATCGAATCCGAGCGAACATTCCCCAGAAATTTTTCACGGTAGTCCGTCCCATCCCCACTATCCAGCCGCCTCTATTGTGGACTTGGCTGAACCTATAATGGTTCAGCCAAGTCCACAATAGAGACTTCGTATAAATTAAGGAAAAAATAATTTTCCTTAATTTATACGAATTCTTCATTGAATAAATTCAGACGTACTGTACTTGTATTTTGATAAAAGACCCTTTTAGTAACTCCAGGGGAAAGAGCCAAAATGAAAACTTATCAAAATTTTAAGAAAAGCAGATTTAAGGAAAAGTTTCACCTTCTGGCGGCTCGAGTTTGTTTTATTCGTATACGGCAACGCGATACATGGGCAATACCTCCCGATATATGGAAACTGGTCTCTATTTAGGTGTTACTAACGTGAAGAAAACCAGGAAAACTCCACGTAGCCATCCCTTTGAACAGGCGCAATCTCCGACCCAACTACCAGTGTTTAGTGGTTTTATCCTCTCGGCTATTGGAGTGCCCTTGGGAACCGCGAGGCGCTTCTCCAGAATTGAGAGAACCGATAAATTTGCTACTGTATAAAAAATTCGCGATAAGCCAGATATACTTTGTCACGATTAACTATGTTAATCAACATAATTAAAATTTTGCCACATCAGAGCATTCGTTATACCTTATGGAAGTTACGAAAGAAATAATTCATTCATTTGAATTTAATAAATGAAAAATAAGGTGAATTCGCTCAATCGATGTTGACACGCATTAGACTTAATATACTGTTCAATTTATTCAACCGTAAAGTGTAATGATTGAAAAAATTTAAAAATAGTACTGTGATATTTTATTTTTGATTCTTCGTTGTTCTAGAAATGGTTATAATCCATCAATTTTTAAACCTAATTCTTAGAAAAATCTATTCAAATTTATCATTGTAATAACTGTCACGTTGGTGATCTGTAGACACTGAACGATTTAATCGTTTTCACTACGCGTTATCTGAAAACCATGGTTGTAGCATCTATGTACTATACTTTTCAGACGTACTGTACTTGGCCATGATCTTATTCCTTTTTAGATATCCATTCCGTAGTCACTAGCATAAAAAACAGTTACTGCTCATCAGGAACTAATTAAATTTTTACATCAATAACATTAAATCCAGACGAAAATGCTCTTCAAAATATTTACTAAACTGCTTATATTTTAATTATAACAGTGTATTTGTTAATACCTGAAAACAGGCAATTTCCTTAATTATTTTCAGTTAAGTCCTTTATACCTGAAAGCTAGAGAAAAATAAGAACAGCGCGTTCTGATACTTCCACTGCAAATACAAATGAATAACTTTGATACTGATATCTGAAATTTATCAAAAATTATGTAACTATTGTACAGTATAGTACATATACAATGTTATAGGCCTGGATATATACTGAATTTTCATATTTTTAACAACAAAAACGTGTATCGTATTTCTTTGGATATTAAGTCGTCCAAGAATTTAGTACTGGTGCACTTACCATAAAAATATTCACATATATATCTCGGTTTCTCAACTGTTTACTGATTTTTCATTCATGTCTTTATATTATTAAAAAAATAATTTTCCTTAATTTATACGAATTCTTCATTGAATAAATGTAAGCACTAGAATTTATATTAGGCTCTAAACTTGATATTGAATAGTTAAGGCAATACGGATTTTCAGCTAATGGACGAAACTTTTGCTTAATAAATTAGTGGATGCTAGAAAATTTTACCCTATATTACTATTACTAATCATTTGTAACGTTAAGATTGATTAGTTAAAATAAAGTTTCAGTTTAAATTTTGATATTAATTAATCAATTATTAAGACTTACAATTTAGTCAAATGGAAGCCCGGTTTCAACTTACCTTTAGCGGTTCATTTAAAGACTTGTATGATAAGCAAAAACTAATTTTAAATTACATTAATCATCATGACTATTTCAATTACAAGTAGAAAAATATATAAGCCTTGCAATTTATATGTAAATATCTATTTTTTTAAATTTTAGGATATCACTTACTTTTTTTACATTAAATGTTTAAAGTTGTTTTATATAAGATTTGTACAAAAATCAAATTTTACATAAATTTTATTAAAAAATTCTTTAATGATCATTCAGTGCTGAATTTCAGCTCTAATAATTATTTGATTACTTCCATAGTTTCACAGATTGGAAAATTTGCTTCTATAATTTCACAGCTTCAGAAAGAAAACAGCACAAAAAAGAAATGACAAAACAATCTGTTCCAATTTTTTTTTTTACTTTTCTCCCAAAAAAAGTCACAAGAAGGGATAGACACAGGGATCACACACTGTACACACTGCTGTACAAATACCAAAGGCTCAAACACTTGTTTTTTGCTAACATCCATTTGCAAGAACACATGTACAAAAGAATGCTACTTGGTTTTCTATGAGTTTACCCCTGATTACTAAGCTATAAGGATAGAAATTTCAGGAGAGAAAAAGAGACAGCAGGAACACAACGAGGTAGTTGGTAAAAAATGTATGACTCAAACTGAAAAGGAAGGAATTATTTACAATGAATGCAGCATAGTATAAACAGCATTTTTCTTTTTTAAAGTGTGATACACTGCACAGCTATGTATGTTCTCCAAAATTTGAGCTGATTTACAAAATAGAAAGGAAAAATCTCAGCTTTGGTATATAGCATTTTAAATAAGATTATCAAAACACTATATAGATATATATATATATTTTTTATATATATGCTATATACTCTGATAAACCTAAACAAAATTTTTGTTTTGTTTTTTGTTAAATGATAAAAACTTTGTTGTAAAATCACTTGCTGTGATTTTATATGCCTTAATCCAGTTTAACCATAATTTACATGCCATAGAAAAATAAAACATGTTTCATGCATATGTTTTCCTATATTTGATTTAAACAGATTTGAAAAAATTGCATCTAATATATTTTTTTAATTAATAGTTTATAATTTATTTAATGTCGGCACTTTGTTGCACTGTGCCTTCTTATGTCAGAATACTGAGCTTGTGTGTTTCATTTGGATCTCTTGATGCTGATACAGAATATGCGTGAAGTTACGCATGCAACATCTACTGTATGTAAAGTATTTTTGTAAAGAATGTATGATGTACTGCATACAGGATATAGTTTTTTTTTGTTACTTAAAAATATACATAAATATAAGAATACACAATTAATTATGTACAATTTGTAATGCGTGAATGTTTTTTGGTGGCTGATGCAAAGTTAAAAACTCAATAATGGTGAAAAATGTAATGAAAAATTGAAATAATAAATTTAAACAAATAAAATGGTATTTTACATCTGCAGTTTAATTTTCGCATTGTTTCCTACTGTCAAATTTCATTCGATCTTCAATTACTTTTGTATATAAAATTTTAAAACTACTGAATTTCCTGACAGTTCAGCAGAGTTTTTGGGATATAGAAAAGATTACAACAGGGGTGGGAAGCAAAATATGTAAAAAGAAATTATTTACAAAGTTATCTTCCTGTACAAATATTCAATAATGATGTTAACAGAGGATACAGAAGACTATTTTCTATTTTTATGTGTCAAGATAGAGGATTTGGGACAACAAGCATCAAATACTTCAACTAGACAGATGTAGCAAAGGCTATTATAATCTGTATACATAGGGAGAGGGAGACTATAGTAAGGCTGCGCAATGGTGCCACTTTTTACATCTACTATCTAGTAATTGCATTATTAAATTTACAATGTTCTACAGGCTTGGGAAGAGAAAAAACATACATCCACATTTTAATGACTCCACAGTTTATGCATGTTGTGGAGAAATCTTCACTTTGAACTGTTCTTTCACAGATAATCTGGCAGACTTTAATTTTGCACTTACGTCGATGTGCAGATGATCTGGTCTATAGTTTGTACCAGTCTTTACAATGTAAGAACTGGTTTTATGACATACCATATAAATGATGGATTCAAGTTGGAGCCGTTTCCCTGTAGGATGCGAGGGAGGCACAAGTCAGCACGTTTCAAGACAAGACATTGAATTATCCTAACTAAACTGTTATCGTCTGTTCTTGAATATTTGAGTTTATACTGCATGTATCCAAAATCAAACACTGGCCGAGGTAGCACTAATCATACATCACCAAGATATCACTCGAAGTGGCATCCGTTGTCACTAAACACAACCCTCCTTAATTGTTTTCAGTCTTCTTTGAACAAGATGTCACCAATCACATTAAAAAGTTATTTTCAAAAAGATAAAATGTTATTATTGCCTGAATATTAACAAGGATTTAGGGAATGGTAAACATGAAGTAAGTTGATCACAAGATACTGATCTATGAGCTAGAATATTTTGCCCTGAAATACGAGCAACAAGAAATTTTTAAATTGTTATTGTATCACAAGATTGATTATTTGGAGAGGAAATTGACAAATTGTTTTCTGAATCAATTATATAAAAAACAGACTTCTGTCAAATGTAGAAAAAAATTTAAAAGGTGTTTAAGTGATAGCCATTAATATCTAATTTTTCATATATATTTAGATATATTTATATATATGTATATATATAGGTTATGTATATATAGATATATGCAAGGAGATAAATAGATTTAACAAAACTCTTCTTACTATGCATGCAATACCACTTTCAAACTGATAAGCACAAACTCTGGTGATGAAATCATTAAAAACTTTAATGTCAAACATAGTATTTCATTTCATTTTTTCCACTGTAGTTCTAATACAACTATTTTACATCTTTTTCCAGAGTTGCATAATGATTCCGTCAAGCTTCACTGCAATAACGGAAATTAATCGGGCTAATCACTTGACCACCTTTCAGAAATATGGAAGCACGAAGGTACTAATTTCCATTTTGGTGTTTGAAAAAAGTCTTCACTTGCACAGTAACAAATTTGGTCTGCATAGACGGCATAAAGGCTATGACTAATCATCACGAATCATATCGTGCAGAACAATCCACCCCATTCAAATCCAAGTCATATATTTGATGGAGGGTTTTGGCTATGGTGCAGCCACGGAGTCATACAATTTAAGAAGCTCCTATGGCTGGAATATTGGACGACATTTTGACATCTGGCAAACTATAAATAAATCTTTTTCACTTTCTGTACAGGTTTGTTATCGGCAGAACTATTGGCATTTTTACCATTCCCGTTTTTTGGCGGCACATTAAGGACAAGATTTATTGGCTTATTGTTGCTCGAAGGAGAGAGAAAGCTATCACTATGGTTCATGTCACACGTCAGCCGAGCATCTCGTTGTTCCAGATAATGTGCATCGTCGTAAGGTGAATCGACTTCTGTATTTCGACAACGTCGACTAAAAATATAACCACTGATAAAACCAACAACAAGTGAAGAAACAATACTTGTAGTTACTGCAATGGCTAAGGTTTCAGCTGTATACATATAAGGATGACCCCTTGAAGCACCAGTAATACCTGATAAAATAAAATACATAAATTTTCATTAATAATTTTCATAAAAACAATTTGTTAGTGCTTCTGAAATATTTATATTTCAGAAGCACTAAACATACCAATTTCATTTATTCACATTTATTCAAGTAACATTTAAAATGCCTTAGTAATAAAGCATTACAGCATATCACTGTGCAAAACTTTTAAAATAACTTATCATTTGTCAGAAAACATTTTTAAAAACTGTTGTTACTGTTTCATACTTTATATATTTTGCATATTTTATAATATCTTACTAATTTATGTCCCTTTAAATTTAGTAAAGTCAAAATATGAAAATGTTAATTATAGAATCTTTAATATTTGTAGATATTTAAGATAGACATATATCAAAAGTCCATAAAAGAATGAAAATATTTTAAAACAGATTTAAGTATTTTAGGATAAACTTCTGTATAAAATTTTTAGGTGTATTTTTTTTAAGAGATTAAATAAATTATCGTTAAATTCCTTTGACATTGAATAAATCTCATAAAATTGTATTATTTTGTTTTGAGAAGAATTTATTTCAATACAAATATTTTATAATATTTTAACTGTATTTCTATTTTGATGTATTTTTATTGTCAATCTTCAGAGACTCACAAATGTCAGAAAATCAGTTCAAGAGAGATACAATCATTCATATGATTCACTTCACCCTTAAGACAAGAGAAAACTTAGACAGAAATAAATAAAATAAAATAACATTAGCAAATATAGTGTAGATTTTTTTCATATTAATTAACATTAGAAATAATCTCTTCATAAATTAGTAAAAACAATGTTTTGACACAGTGTAAGAATGACATTAACTCTCAAATAATTGTAACAAATATGAATGTTAATCTCTCAAATTTTTTGTAATTGTTATGGGAATTAAATTTATTGATACAAAATTTTGACAGAGTATGTTCTGATGACAAAAACATCTTTATTTCTTATCAATGAAAGAAGAGAATAAAATCAAACTCGAATGGAAAAAGTTATATGCACACTTCTATTGTAGGATATAGATACTAGAATACATGAGGGAACAAAAGAGTAGGTTATGGGTAGCCCAACCCCTCACCTGTGGCTGCTGCCTCTTGCTTTTTACTGCTGCCACCAATTACACTGGTAACAAAAATCAGATTGGTTTAAATCAGTTAAATATACACAGAATAATTTCCAAGCAAAAGAAACCAGTTAGTGTAAAATAATTTTAAGTTATAAATAGTTTCTAAATTTTCATTTCTAAACAGATAAATGCAAACAGAAAGCTGATATATTAAGAAAGAACTCACTCATCTAACTTCTTGAAATGTGTAGATGAATTATGGTCAAATTAATTACATCTACACACATTCGACATACGTCATTCATACAGTTGTCGTTCTTTCATGTAAAAAAAAAAAAAAAGAAAAAGAAATAAATAAGGAAAAGCACGCTAAGTCTAAACTAATAGGATATGGATAGATGATGGTAAGAGAAAACATCACAATGTATACGTTAAAATGCCTTCACCTTGATTGTTAGCTCTTCAATGGGATTAGAATAAGATAGTTAAAGAATTGTAAGTGGGCAGCAGCCATAGGAGAGGTCGTCTCAGGAGAGGATAAGATCACACACACATTACACAACAAACGTAAACATACATTACAAAAAGATGTGAAAAGAAGTTTATGATGATTTTTATTAATTAATTAATTTCAATTAAAAAATTTTTAATAACGAGAATATTTATGAAAGTACTTAATAGAATATAAATATTTAATTTTCCTGGTTGCTTATATAATAAAAATATTTTACATATTTTGATAATCAAAAAATTTAATGCCAACATTATAAGACAAATATTTATTGACGGCTTTAAGTAATTAATGCCAAATTGATATATACTATAATAATTCTACTGTTACATTTGAAAATTACTTAGTGTAATTAAATGTTAATCCATTTTTATTCTTCCACAAATAAATTATCTTAAGATATACCTCATTTATGATTCCTAGTAGGGGAAACCATTTTTTTAATTCATTTATTTATAAATGTTCAAAACCCAGATTATTTCCTTACTATACATTTTTGCTTATTTACTTCTTACCTGTAAAAATGTGTGTTCATAATGTGAAAAGAGAAAATCAAATACTTAACAAGATATGTATTATTAATCTATACATGCAATATATTATTATTCAAAGGAACAATTAAAAAGACACTTTTAGAGAATTAAATAAATGCATTTAAGATAGACTGGGTTAATGTAGCATCAGTCTAATGTTAAAATATGTATTCAAGAAAGACATTCATGCATTCCAGATGTCATACAAACTCCAGTCACAAACAAGTGAGATTGCAAATAAAAGGGAATGGGACAGGAACATTATATGATGAATTATGGGCTGAAAATAAATTGTGATTTGCAAAGGAAAAAATACTTTTTTTTTACAACTAATAAAGTTCCTAAAATAACATCTTAACTAATAATTTTCGAAATTATTTACAACATATTTCATCATATCTTTGTAAATAATATGATTTTCTAAATGAATTTTATATGCTAAAATATATTTATAGTGTAAAAACTACTTATTCTTAAGAAGGATAAAATTTCAAAAGAATCATATTTTCCTAATTTTGATTTTAAGGGGGAGAAAAATTGTCATCCGAATTTTTCCTAAATAGGGCAGCAGTTTCACTTCAAATATAGTTTGTGCTACAACCACTGGGTAAGGGGTCAAGGCTTACCATTGCCACCGTCGTCTTTTTCCATCGTAGAAGAAGAGTGACTGCCCAACTGGTTGTCATGACGACTAGCAGAGTGATGGGGAGAACGTTGCGGAGTTGTACCGGTGCCTAAAATACGCCCTGTATTGATGTTTAGAGAAGGATTAGTTATACAAACTACATTATAAATGAAATGATAGGAAAGAAAACTGACAAAACACTTTTTGAATTAATTTACAATTAGTAATTAAAAAACAATATAAACACCTTTAGGCAAATGGATATTAACACTGAATAGAATTATAATAGAACAAAAGTTAGTTATTTTTTTTAATATAATCCATTTCCCATTCTTTTCTATTCAGAAGCATTCACAAATACAAAATCAACAAAAGCCATGACAGAAATTTGAGACAAAAACACGGCTCACTTAGTGTTAGCAGAAGCTGAATTCTCCACAATATTAATCCACAGTTAATGCAGAAAGATGCATATTGGAAATAATTTAGTATCTCTGTTTAGCTAATAATAAATTTAATTAAGAAAATGTAAAGAAAATAACAGATATAAAATGACAGACATTTATTTTCCAACACCAAAGATTTAAATACTTGGCATTTGGCTTACAAGCACATTGCAGAGAGTAGGAAGCAGCCACCTTTTATGAGAGATGGATATATTTTGTCAGATTTTGGAAAATTTAAGCGTTTGTATTGTAGTTTGTACTATGTAACTAACCGGAATTATTGGTTTCTGTAATATCATTTTCACTGGAAGGAAACCACAAATTAGGTGGACAAATGCACTTCTGTGGACATGGTGGGCAGGTGGGAGTACTTGTTGTTGTACTCCTTATTTCTGAATCTATTTGAAATGAATGCAAAATTAATAAAAAAAAGCCTAAAGAATGGAATGATGTTAAAAACAAAAAAAAAACCATAAACTGAAAATAAATTCTACAGAAAAAATATATAAAACAGACTTCTTTGTATCTAAATAACAAATAAAGTAAATTTGAATAATAATTCATATTAACAACAATAAACTTAAATACATTTTGTAAAATAATGCATTCTTATTTTATAAATAATAATAAAACTAAAATAAAATTAATAAATATTCAAATAAATTTTAATATATTATTAAAGTAAAACTATATTAATTAATAGAAAAAAAATCATAATGCAATTTTTTCATTCCAAACATTCCCAAGAAATGGAATTAGAAAAAAGAAAAACAGAAAATTCTTTCAAGGAATGCATTCATTACTGTAAGGTGTAGAGAGATTATTTTATTTTTAATTTCATAGTCAATAAGTGCATGCTGGTAGAAAGAAAACAGTTTACTACTTCGAGGATATTGTTGAGAGTCTAAAGCCGCAAAATGTTAGTAAATGCAGGTTTGGGGAATATTCCTTAATAAACTCACCAGTGTGCTGCAGCACTGATTCTGATGTTGTAATGTCCTCATCTGCAAGAATACGTATCACAGTTTTGTAATATTCTATATTTTCACAAAGTAGATTTTCCACCATTAATTATATATTTAATATTTAGCATATTCCATCATAATTTATATATAATGTTTTTGACAAAAACTTTTATTTCAGATGAAAAAATGACATATTTTATAAAACAAAAAAATTGATATTTGTTTCAATTTTTGTTGTGTATCAGTGATAAGTAATTTAATCAACTACATAATAGAAATCAAACTTGATCAGTGGTCAAATTAATTACATCTACACACATTCGACATACGTCATTCATACAGTTGTCGTTCTTTCATGTAAAAAAAAAAAGAAAGANATTAAGTATTTATTACTATTGTCAATTTTTTAAAATTTTAACATTATGCAATAATCAACAAAATTCTAAAATAATAGAAATGTCATTTTCTAAAAAAATGCTTGTTTATAAATCAGATAAATCATCAAGTTAAAATAAATTGTATATAAATGAATACTGAAATTTATATGAATTTTTTTTTATTTAATTCATAATGCAATGAAGTGATTTTAATTCTTCAACAGAGAATTAAAAATTAAATTTTCAATCTTTTTAGTATAATAGTTTGAAATTCATAAAATATTTAAATGTATTCATCCATAACAATATACAGTACATTCATGAATTCTCTCTGGTTAAATGGGAATATTTTCATTAAAGTTTAAATAAAATTTATGATGATAATTCCATCATTCAAAATATTAAAATACATATTCTCTATTCTTCAAAAACAACAAAAAAAATCACATTTATTTCAATACATTAAATTTACAAAACTTAGAAGTGAAAGCAAAAAAGTGATACTATAAAGATAAACATAATACTTTTGATTTTTAAATAAAACAACTTGCCATATAAAGATGCTGTTCTGAAAATAATATATTAAGTAAAACAAAAACTTATGTCAAAAAATCTTATATACAACAGAAGTATTATCTACATATGATAAACATCCAGATAGATAGCAACAAATACATTTATCCAAAAGGACTTAGAGAGGGCCATCTCTGGTAGTCCCTTTTGATTTTGTGGAGTTTGATATCAATCACAGTACTACACCAATCAGTAATCCATGGTAACATCTCAATAGTCTTCAATAAAAATCAGTTTAAAGCTTTCCACGTTCCTTGATACTTTATCAATACAATCTAGTATACATAGCAGTGGCAAACTGAATGGTAGGGTATAGTACGTACATGTTACAGGTTCAAATCTTACTACCTTCAATTTTTTTTCTAATCTGCATTGAATTATATTATTGTGCAAAATACATTTGTATTTTTAACAAAGAAAAATCAGTATTTTACAAGTATAACATTTATTTATCACTTTCGCCACAATTTTTATTTATACACATTGAATGAAAGTACAATGTAATACATAAAGTTTCTTTCTTATCTAGTCTTGACTTATTCATGTAGCAGCATGAGCATATGAAGAGTTTCTTTGTTAAAAATACATTGCACACAATCTGTTTCAATGCAGATTAGAAAAAACTTTAAATCTAACATGCAGTGTAATAGTGCTGAGCATGCCTTACTGCTGCTGACACTTTAAAATTTTTCTTCTAAATATCACTTTTGGTAGCTGTTATTATGATTCTATGTATATATGTCTCTTTAATCCGAAATTAAGTTCAGTAGACTACCATTACAGCTTTCAGGTTAGACACTTCTTTTATTGTTTCCACATATGCATTTTGGACTTATATAAATGCTATGTGAAAACAATAAAAGAAGTGTCTAACCTGAAAGCTGTAATAATAGTCTACCAAACTTAATTTCAGATTAAAGAGATATACATACATAAAATTTTTCTTAATATTTACATATATATATTGATAAACTTTTTTTGCAGATGCTTGAGAGTTGACTTTAAAATGTGACTATCATGGATCACTTGGAGGGTAATACTGTAATGTATGTTAAACTCAGTAGAATGTGGGAGTCATCCCTGTGATAGCCCTCTTCTTAGATGATTCTATAATAATCAGTTCTATTTCAATAATCATAGTTTAAATAAAAAGATTATTTAGTTAATATATATTATCGATTAACTTAAGCTTAAAAAATTAAATAATTACTAGAATTTTTGAAAATTCTAAATAATTTTTGCAAAAAATCTTTACAAAAAGCATTGAACTAATGATAGGATAATAGGATAAAATTATCAGTTAGCCTATTAACTAATTATTATAAAAAAATTACATATATTAATAAACTAGTGAATAGACATATAATAAAAATAACCAAACTTATAAACTAATTTTGTTCATGAAGTTGATTTTTATTAGTTAAATTCTGGCATTTCGTAATAACATATTGCATTATTGGAGAAAAATTAGTGATTAATGTGATTACTAAACATTTTCAGGAACAAATGTCCATCTATACAATATTTCCAATATTAATGATTGAAAATTTAAAGAACTAACTTAAATTCAATGTAAAACAGTTTGTTATAAACAAATAAAACTAAATTTAAATATTGCAAATTAAGTTACAATACAATAATTCAATAAAAATCAAATTGATTATCACATAACTAACAAAAGCTGCTACATAAGTTTTAATGTCATTACAATAACTTGTTAACTGAAGTTTCTCCCCAATAAAGCAATATATTAAATTTTCCAGTTCCAGAAAAAAATTTATGAATAAAAAATCAATATTCCAATATAGATTGCTGAATTTACTTTTTACCATAACTTTCTCAGAAAATAATAAAGATTTTCATTGAAGTCCATATTATATGATTATCAAATGTACTTTCATATTAAATAAAATTTGTTTTAATTTTAAGTTAAAACTTTAGATTTAAATGATTTAACAAAAATTTTAGTTATGAATTTATTTATTTTTAAATATTCTTATTTTTCTTCTTTAAAAAACAGCATTGCATAATATTTCTTTGCTACAATTCTTAAAATCTGCATCTATAGGAATTGGAAAAATTTTATAATTCAAACATATTTGACTTGTAACAAGAAACATAATTATTGATTTCATAAACTGAAAGTTTAGCAGATGTAATTCTGTATTCACTGAAATATTTTGAATATCAAATTATTTTAGTGAATTACTCAATAATTAACTAAAATAATTTGATTCATGCACTGCTTTGATTACTCCTCCAGCATATAAAAGTTTATAACAAATTTTCAAATTCCATTCAAATGATTGATAAAATAATTTAATGTATATTATCATCTCATTTTAATTACTTTGTTTTGTTGGAGATAATATGATTTTCAGAAAATATATTGCTTCACAGATTTTAATATATTTTAATTTACAAAAATTTATATATATTATTAATGATTCTGAATATAAATCTATTCTTTATGCCATTTAGAAGTCATTTTTCATTCCTTGAATATAAATAATTTCTAACCACAATTCAATGAAAAATTTTATTATTAGATTTTGACAGCTGAGACTAACTCTTGAAACATATTCAGCACCATTGTGTGAATTTTAGAAGAAAAAATTTGATATGTTGAATTTAAATATATAAGAAATAAATTCCTAAAAATAATAATAGATTAAATTTATACAGAATAAATATAATTATGAACTGAAATACCAACAACAAATAATAATTGCTTATGTTCTAGATTTACAATTTAAATTTTTATAGGTTTTATTTCAACAAATTTAATTATAAGGTGGTAATATTTCAAATTTAAAAAATTATTTAAAATGCTATCTAATATTTTTGTTTAATAAAACTGAAATTTTTTGTTAAAATGATTAATTAAAGATGTAAGATAAAAAATTTAAGAAACTTATCTTTCTTGATAATTTGTTATATAAATATTTAATCATTTATCTTAAGAAAGCTTGATAAATGATTTCAAATTCAAAAACAAATAAATTTCCATTTTACAAAAATGATAAGCATCTTATACTTTCTTGTGAAAACAAACTGTACAATCAGTTACTATGAGAATATTAAGATAAATATCAAAATATAAGCAGTTTAATAATAATCTTTATAAGATTGCATATAAAGAATATTGCTAAAGTCTAAGATATGTGAAAACATTTCTAACTCAGTTTTGAAATAAATAAAAGTATAATGACGATAAATATTGCTATTTTCATTCTTAAGCTTTATAGTTTTTCTTTAGAATTAAACAAAAGTTTTGGTTAAATTTTAAGAAAAAATTATGAAGCTAAGAATTTGATAATCATAAATTATATTTGAAACAGTATATTTAATAGTATGTTGTAATTATTACTCATAATGTATAAATCTGTCATTAGCAAAGGCTATAAGAAAATAAGTAATTTGAACTCTTCACTTTGATTTAATAATTTGTCAATGCAATAAAACTATTTCTTTTTGTTGATTTTAAACTATTATGTATTTACTTTTATGAGTTTTTAAAACTGAAATATTCTAATTTACAAATTTATTTTAGTTTTAAGTTCTACATTTCTTTGTTAGTGTTTCCACAAATATGATAAAAAGAAACTTGTTTACAAAGCATTTTCAAAGAAATAAGTTGATTCACTCTATCTGCTCTGTACAAGAATTATTTCTCCTCTTTCTCATCCTTTCTTCAGCCTAGACCTTTAAGTAAGATCTACCTCATAATGATATTATTAATTAAGTAATCTAAAAATTTTTATATCAAAATATTAATAATAATGTAAATGTTTGTACAGATGTAAATTATTCTGAAGTAATTTTTAAATTTTAAATAAATTGTGCTGATGTTATCAAATGTATTATTTAAAAAATTCCAATATAAGAACTACAGTCAAGGCAGACATCCCATAAAAGTGTTTATCCTTTAAATAAATTCAAAGAATTCAAAATTAGTCAGTCATTTGTGCTATTTAAATACAATCAAATATCTTTAATATCCATGTTTCATATTTGTTTTTTAAATATTACAGTAGTCAATTCCAAGGATTCAAATTATATGATAATTATATAAACGGAACACAATCATGTATTTGAGTTTTTTCATTTTTGTATGAAATAAAAAAAAGACTTAATTATTTAAATTTTTCAGTTTTATTTACGTTGATAATTTTTTCCATTAATTAAATTAAAATGTCTTAAATTTATTTAAAATTATAAGACAATTTACCTTCAGGACACCGAGGATCTGAACCCTCTTCTACATTTTGTACATAAAAGTCACTTTTCCAAAATCTAAAAATTCATTTTAAAATTTAATTTTGATAAACTTTGCAATAAATAATAATTAAATATAAAATAAAATGTTTAATGTTATACCTAGATCTTGAACTTGTGCACTTCTTCTGTGTTTTTTCCCAGGCACAATAAGGATCTTGTAACCCTACACAATCCCTAAAAAATTTATCATATTATTATCGTCATCATCATCATAAATCAAATAAAAATGTTTTTAAAAATTGTAACATGTTCATAAATTACATAAAACAAACCTGCAAGTTCTTGCCCTCTGTTTACAGTTATGTAAAGGAATGGTAACTATTTCTCGGTGGGAGACTACCATTAGTCTGTTGTTATATAGAGTATGATATACAAGTAGATTTGTAATTGGAGTTTTGGAACTGAATACTTGAATTTCCTCAATAATTACAGGTATGACTTTGCCATTGGCATTTGCACTTCCAGCGTTTAAAGCTTTAATAACTTTTCCATTATCTAAAAAGAAAAGAAAAATTCTTTAATAATGTAATTAAACATTTTGTACTGCAATTACAAAAAATTCAATTTAAATAATTTTATCTCATTTATTTAAATAAATGACAACTTTTTTACATTAATTAATTTTATTTATTTATTATTATTGTTCAAACTTTGTATTTTCTTTGAAAATATTATACATTAAAAACGTTTTTTAAATAAATAACTTATTATCTGTATAAAAGTCAGCATACTATATAAAACAAAAGTGAAAATGTCTTCATTTTTCTGCAAAAACTAACAATGTATATCATATTATGTAAATTAAAATAATTTATTTTTTATGAATCATTATAATGATATCTAAACAGAAATTCTAACTCTCTTTTGAAGGAATAAGAACTTTTACCTGTTCCTATAAAAAGAACATCATATTTCTTTCCATCAGCTGTTTCTATCTGAGGATCTACTGCAATATGAGTGAGACGATAGCTGAAATAGATATTAAATCATTATGATACCTTTTAAAATTTTCCAGAATATTTAAATATGTCGAAACTTGTAAAAGAACAAAAGTGTAGAGTTGTTTCAAAATGAATAATTTTCACGATGACAGTTTCGACATTTAAAAATTGATTTTCATTTAAATTAAACTAATAAATGCTTAAAATTTTCCAGAATATTTAATAATTTCGAAACTTGTAAAAGAACAAAAGTGTAGAGTTGTTTCAAAATGAATAATTTTCACGATGACAGTTTCGACATATGAAATGGCACTTCACTGTATAATCTTGCAGAAGTTATCAAGTAACCTTTATCGACAATGTTCCAAGTGACGTCATCACCGATACTTGATGCAATAGTCTCCGGATGACGTCATGTCAAATTGCGTGACGCACTCGATGACATCCTTCGTCTATACAGCTTCGCCTTTCCGATTATATTTTCCCGCTTCTTTTTATTTATCAGAAAGAAAGGAGGAAATGGCAAATTTAGATCTTAATCATCTTTCTAAGTCTCATCTTGAATTAGTTATTATGGAGATAATTCTTCATCTGCTGACAAAACAATTTAATCCCACGCTAAATTATCGATTATGAAATTATTATTATAAAGGATAGAATTAAATTTAAAAAATACAAAATAATTAGAATATTTTTTAATTTAAATATATAATTGGAAAAAAATATTGTGCATTTAAAACAAAACTCAATTCATTGGTTAATTTAAATTTTTAAATGCTTGATGTTTTTAAATTGGTTAATTGGATGTAATTAAGTTTTAAATTTTTAAAGTATTGATATATATTATTCATTTATAAATAATATTTATTTAAAATTCTTATTAATTTTAAATCTAAATTCATTTCTTATTGCTTTCAAGGTATTGTTGAAATCCTCAAACCTTTCTAATTCAAAATATTTGTTGATATATGGTATCAAGTCATATACCACGCATTGAATGGATATCAATACGCTATTCATTTCTTCCTTCTATTGTGCAGCTCTTTTTTCCTTTTGCTTTTTTACTTTGGAGTTCTTTTCCTTTTCATTCTTCGTTTGACTCTAACCTGATTAGTTTATCCATTAATGTTTTTGCCCATTGAAAAGACATTTTATAATTACTTAATTTGATAATGCTCTTGTATTCCAAGACAAATATTTTGTTTTGGAATACAAGAAAGTCGAAAACGTATATCAAATTATTATCACTTGTTGCATTTGATAATGGAAAAAAAATCTTTCGAGAATTAAAATATTATCTCTTAACCTGTACAATTTTCAAATATTTGTTTTTATATTTACAAAATTCTTTTATTCTTTTCTATTTTTGTAGCATCTTTTCGTGAGCTTTTATTCAGTTTTTGTGATTCTTAACATTAATTTCTAACCTTCATAATCTAAAATAATAACCTGAGATGTAACTTAATCCTTAAGCTAAGTAAACAATTTCGATTTTTTATATTTTAAATATAAACAATCTGAGGACAGTTAAATATTNTATTGCAATTGTTAATCATAAGTCAAATCAAACATTTAAAACAATATTTTAAAGTAATTCCAAATTTTTATATTATTTTTCTTTTCTTAAAAAAGCTTTAGCTTTAAATAGGAGGAAAATTTTATATCTACATTAACACATGTTATTTTCAAAACTGTTTAATTATGTCAATCACTTTTGAAATAAAAGTTCATAAAACTGACTTTTATATATATGCTGTTATGTAAGTCAATTTGCATTAAAAAATTAGAACAAATTCAATTACAGTAGAACCTTTGATATGTTTACCATCAAAATGACTGATGTCTATTGGTCACTCAATAATGGTGCTTAGGCTTTCATTTTGGGAGGGCAAAGGTAGGTCAGAACATTATTTTAAGGGTGGATATTATCTGCATTTTATCTTCAAACAAACTAATGTTTAAAATTTAGCAATCTATTTCCAGCAACATATAAGCAGAAAAAACTTTAGTGAGAATGTATTACATGGTAAACAATCCATATTTAAATAATCTTCCAGTAATAGTCAGTAAAAGTGAGAGGAGACATTTTCAGATGGGCTGGTGCCCACTCTTGTGCTGTACATGGTGGTCACCATATGAAAATGAAGTTTGTTGGCTGCATAATATTGCAAACCAATGTTTGAATAAGAAAATACTGTATGTTATTACATGTATATATTGAAAATGTTACAGAATGGGATAAAAAACATATTTCACATTATCTTCTGAGAACTATTGTTTCAGTTATTGCTGCTTCATTTGTACTCTCATATGATCTAATATAAACAAGACCCAGATAATGTATCCATTATATAAAAAAGTCATGCCCTCTGAAAAATAAGAATTGTGAAGTTTGACTTTTTTTTCCTCTCAGATAGTATTATATACTCTATAATCTTCCAACTCCTAGACATGAAACCAACAGTAAGGGTAACAAAACATGGAAAAACAGGAAGTTGAAAGAAAAAGAACAGAGAATAATTTTAAATACAACAGTCATAAAATTTTATTGTAATTGTCTACAATACTTTGTAGACAATTTTTCAACAAAAGTTTACTATAATTTTAAAACTTTCACTTGCAAGACTGTTTCAATTCCAGAAACAAGAGTTTGCATTTGGTGAACATATAGAGACTGTTTTCTATGGCATGAATAAACCAAGATTGATCAAAATGCAAGTTATAGAGGCATTCAGCATCTAAACAGTTCAACTCTGTACATTTCAATGGGACATATTCTGGGTTATGCAAGAATGATTCTTTTAGAGAGATGATAAATTTAGGAGATTACACTGTAGTTACAATACAAAGTAATTATGATCGCATAGAAACTTAATAATAATCTTATTCTAAATACTTTTGAAATTATTAATTTTTTGTTATGCACAATACAGATGTATCTTCAAAGGAAAAATAATTAGTTTAATATTTTGATTTTACTGTTTACAAGAAACTGAAGCAGTTATTGATTACTGTTAATATTAAAAATTACAGAATATATTGTAAAAGCATGTAACAGGTGTTCAGAAAAAATTCACTCAAAATATTTTAGGCCCTAGCTCTAATGGCCAATAATTTTTAATTATGCTGATATCCTATAATTTAAAAGTATGTGGAATGCTGTAAAACATTATAGAATCTTTCTGCATTCAATTTTGAAAAAAATGGCAATGAAAGATGCTTTACTCCTTAGAGAGTACAACTTTCATGTATTACTGTAAAATTTTTTCCTAATGTTTTATAAAACCATTTTGCAAATGAAGGAATTTCAAAATGGATTATATATTGCATTCTCCAAAGTTTTGAGTGTGGATTACCACCACAGAAAAGAAAGGCGTTGATAAGAAAGCCAAGTTGGAAAAATTGAAAAAGAGTTTAAATTAAAATCTTTCTACTGTCTTCAATCTGTAGCCCTGAAACAAAATTTCACACAGTTGGCTTTTTGGAGCAAACTTTGTTTTCAAAACCACTGGCACAGACAAAATACAGAATGATCTCTGAAAAGTTCAATTGTAAATGACAAATCTTACTTCAGTCTCTCATGCCTAACTATTAATGATAATGGTAGATTTCATACCAGTAATATCTTCTCTACATTTGTCAATGCAAAATTATCCAAGAAAAAAAAATTGAGGCAAAGTTTTAGTTTGGATTGCAATGGGACCAAAAGGATTGACTCACACCCTAATCAGAAAACTAAGTTTTTCTATCAATGCCAAGCAATATTTAAATAAATGTATATGACATTGCCTGATTCCTTAAATGCAAAAACATAATATCTTCTGGCCAGATCAAGCAAGTTTCCACTATGTAAAACCATACTGAATTACTTGTGACAAGAAATCATCATCAAAAAGGTTAACCTTTCAAATGTGCCAGAAATCAGGCCATTTGAAGATTTGCCTAATTTCTGGCACATCTTCTAATAGAGAAATTTTATGATTTTGACTATCATTCCAAACAAGATGATGAAACTGATTGCTACGAAGAGGGTATTTTGCACAGAGATTAAATTCAGGTGGTCTAGTTGGCTTAGAGAGAATTAAAAGCAATGAATCCTATGGAATACTTGATCATCTAGAGAGGTTTTAATGTATGTTTTGAACAAACAATTGATTATTTTATAATAAAAATATTGATAAATATTATTTAGCTACTCAAGGAAAATTACAAGACAATATAAAAAAATAATAATTCACTAAATAATACAGTAAAATTGTTATATGTTTATTATATTAATGAAGTAAATATTAAAATATTTAAGTGACTTATATAAAAGGGGATATTTCTATCCAATAAAAATTTTTTCTTATTTTCTACAATATGAAAATTAATCAAAACTCATTTCTATTTTTTTAAAAAAGGAAAGAAAATATTTGGAAAACTTCCTGAGAGTTTATATAAGATCAAGTTTAGATAAAATTTGCTTAAATAGGTTGCATATAACACTTTTAAAAACACAAGACATTAACAGTTTTGTTTGCATTTACTGCCTTGCTGAGGCTAGGCAGAATGAATCTATTGATATTTTGATCAAATACCATTAATGATCAACTAGCAACATTCTTGGAAATATGAGAAATATACAAATACAAAATTTATTTACACAAAATCTTATTGAATCACTATTCAATACATGTAAATATATTTTAATATCCTTTAAAAATTATATTTAATGTATTAACATTATTATAAAAATAATAAAACAAAAATTAATTTAAAGTATTAATGATTATTTACTATAGCGGAGATTGGTGCGTTTTTGCTAACACTTCGGTTTACTGAGGAAGATTTGTCAATTGTGTTTCTTGAGTGTTATTTCTACAATGTTTAATTTAAAATTAATCCAATTAATACTACTAATGTCCGGAATTGAACCGAATCCAGGCCCTCTTCAGAAAACGCCACCCAAAAGAGGAAGACCTCCAACAAACCGAACAGCTCAATCGTCATTCAACACTAAACCAGCTGAAGGTGAAATCAACTTAA